TTGAAAAGGTATTACCAATGACACCTTGAGAGCATCAAAGCAGTAGAAATTGGGACTTGATTTGATTTTTAGCGGTGTTACCCAAAATTTCAATGTATTTTTTATTTTTTTGGGAATTATCACCCAATATCGCTTTTTATAAGCAATAAATTAATAAAATTTTCTGTCATTTACTCCAAAAAGATTTTCTGTATTTCATTTCAAAGGAGTATCGGTACAAAAATAAGGCCAGATATCGCCTTTTCAAAAAAAATAAAAAATAAAAAGTCCTAAACACTCTAACTGCTCTCATGGTCGTCCCCCACCTCCTCCTCATTGTTATCAACATCATCAAATCCCCCCTCATCACTGTCATCAGTGGGCACGAAAGGTGAGAAGTCAAATATTAGGGAAAGCGGTAGAAACTTTCCCTCGGAGATCCTCGAAACCATCAATAAAAGCATCTGCAAGACCGTTCTCCAAGTCTTCCTCAGCACGGGAAACTCTCTCCCTAGCAGCCGTCAGCTTTGCCTCTGCAACAGCTGCCTCTCTAAGCATGGCCCTCTCATGGGCCTCTACAAGCTCAGCCTCTCTGAGCGTACTCCTCTCGCGGACTGCCAAAAGCTCAGCCTCTAGCTTAGTGGCCCTCTCATAGGCTGCAACAAGCTCACCATCCCTGAGTGCGCTTCTCTCGTGGACTGCCAAAAGTTCAGTCTCTAGCTTAGTGGCCCTCTCATGGGCTGCAGCAAGCTCACCATCCCTGAGCGCGTCCCTCTCGCGGGCCGCCAGAAGCTCGGACTCTAAATTAGAAAACCTTTCATGTGCTGCCACAAGCTCACCCTCCCGGAGCACGTCCCTCTCACGGGTCACCAAAAGCTCAGAATCAAGCTCGACAATCCTCTCCTGAGCAGTAATAAGCTCCCTCTGCACAAGGCTAAGATCCAGCTTCAGCTTGTCTTGATTATAGGCCCTCGAAAGCAAGCAGATGGAGGAAGTCGAAACCTAAAAAAAAAAAAAGGNAAAACCCGAGGGAACCCCAAGGGAAGTAACAACCTAGCCGCTAACGAACCCACAGAAAAAATGTCTTCCAAACGCCTATTTATACTTACAATGGCTTTCTATCTCTACACCCATCTCTATAAACTTAGACATCTTTGAAAGAAATGGCTTTCATGATATCCAAACACCAACCATCTTTCTCAGAGGCCGCCGAGAAGGTAAGCGTTTCAGATCAACGAGATGAGACAGAAATTATAAACTCAGTCACTAGTCAACTCTACTTGAAGTCGTCATCATCATCGGCTCATCACACTTCAGAAAAAGCTCTGGACAAAGATGTTGTTCTCAGACGACTTCGCCACCATAAGTGCTTAAACAGGATAAAAAATACTTTCGGAGCTTTGCTGAGTACCACCCCATCTGGTGGCCAGAGACAGAAGTGGCTGGAACAAGATGATGCTTTCTCCGCCCCGTGACTTGGACCGACTGACTGAACAGGTTTTTGTCACCGGCCGATGACGGCGGGAGAGGGGGGTGGGTAATGGTGACCCAAAATAAGCTGTTTTACAGAGGTGCTGCTTACATTTTTCAGCAAGATCTTAATTCTTGCAATGTAAGTGCTATTTCATTTAAAAGACCATTCAAAGGTGAAATGAACTCCGAAGGTCACAAAACTTGCCAGATTGATGGCTTGTAACATGTTTATTGTTTTTTTTTTGTCTTTTTATCTACTTGAGTTTTAAGAATCTGTTTGAATTCTAATGGCCAAAGTCATCAATTAAAGTCAATATTTACATTATTTTCTTTTGGGTGAATTGTATTTTGCACCTTGAAAGGTTTAAGAATTTTAACTTTTGTACTCTCAAAAATTAAATTTTTCATATTGTCCTTCAATATATTAAAAGTATTACAATATGACATTCTCGTTAGTTTTCATTATTCATTCCGTCAACGTCAATAGAATAAATTTTGATGGATTGAGGTAATAAAATATAACGGAAATGTCACATTACAACACTTTTAATACATTGAGGGTGTAATGTAAGAGATCTCATCTTTCAGAGTGGAAAGTGAGAAAACTTGAAATCTTTCGGGGTGAAAAGTGAGATTTCCCCTGTCATTTCTGTCAACTGAGAATCCTACTACCAGTTTAAAAAAAAAAAAAACAGAGAACAGTACTAGTGTAGTGTACCTTAAAATACGCAATTCATTCACAAACCGCACATATCAGGTAAATCTAACTCCCCTACAAAACTTAAATTTGAGATCTTAATTGAGTAATATATGAAAACAAGGACAATTGGGATGAAAATACTTGAGGAATTGAGTAATGCTGGGATCCCAAATTGCATCCTATGTAAGTGTGGACCTGTGGATTTGCGAGTCCCGTGCACATTTTTTAATAGTACCCACTGATCTAATAATCCACACTTAGTTGGGATGCAATTTGGGATTTCAACTTTGAGATCTCTAGCATTATTCTATTGCGTATTGGGCCCTTTCATGAGAGGTTTTGTTTTGCATAACAGAGCACATCTGCACATGTTCATTTCTCACAAGATGGAAATCCTACAATGCAACTAGGCAATCCAATATTGTAAACCTAATGAGAGACATTGGGTCCTCTAAACAACAGTGCTAAAGTCTCAAAGATTAATTCCACTGAGAATAGTGGCCTATTAAATCTCCACCCTCTTTGGACTCTAAGTTGGCCGCCTTGGGTAATTTAAAATGAAAGGTGGTTCCACTTTTTCTTTCTATTGGTTAATCAAGGTGGATCCGCTTCAAGAAAGCACATCAGAGCCTTCAGAGATGCATAAATCCAATTTTAATACAATTTAATAGGTAATAATAGCCTATCATACCCAAAGTTTTCTTCTAAAACATGCTAGATATGTAGTTCTAATAAAAAATCTAAATTCTAATACACTGCTGGAGACTGAGAAATAGATATCTGTTCCCCACAATAGGATTTATGCAACCACTGACCCCAAACAATTAATTTATATGATATTGATTGTTCATCATGTCACTATGGAGCAAAGGATCAGCATCATCCTCAAAATAATGGATCAAAATTGAGAAGCTACCATTGTCATAATCCCTCATTGCTTACTTAGTAAACCAGATGTAGCAAGGAATCGTAATGCCTGGTTAGAATTTTTCAGAACTGCAGACGATCTTGAAACCTGCATCTTCCGTTTCTTTAAGAACTCCAATGAGTTCTGTGAGCATTGAGAAGGTGGGATGTCCTTCAAAATGACAGGTTCTAGCCTGTCAAACCATCAATTAGTGGAAAATTTTTTGTTCAGAATTTCACATCTTAACAAATTATTAATAAGCTGGGGAAGAATAAAAGAGAAAAAAAAGAGGACCCACCCAGAGGATTTGGCTGCCCTTTTCTTTTTGGAGGTACGCTTTTTCTCGACCTTCTCTTCCTCAGAGTCTGACAAAAAAACTTTCCTGCACATGATATTTTTCTCTTAATTGCGAATTATGTTAAGAGAAAGACAGCTAGTAGCTCCATAAGAGATACAAACACATGTATGTACACACATAGTGAGAGGAAATGGGGCAAGTTGTTAGGGAAAGAGGAGAGAGTAGCAGCGCATACTTCTCACGAGCTGCAAGCAGTTGGACAATGTCATCTGGGAGCATTCCCTTGTTATTCTGAGTCTCTTCGTGTGTCTCAGTTTCTATTCTGTCTTGAACAGTGTCACTCGCAGACGATGGTCGTGGTGTCAACTTTTGAGCCCATTGTCTGCGTCGTTCTTTTCCTTCACGAACAATCCTACAGAAAGCACATAGAATATATTTCATGTTGTGTAGAATGTAACTTAATGAAGAATCAATCCCTCATTTTGTACGATTTCCAGGCGCAGGAAAACAATATAGGAATACCAGCAGCACCAAAGCAAGCCATCAGAACACCATCAATAGTTTAACACTTATATGGGCCTCAAAGATTCTTTGAAGCATGGCAAAAGTATAAATTGTTATGTTTCCCAAATAGTCTCCATTAAGTCATAGGAGAGTTTGAAATGAACCACCACCAAGGTGGATTCATAATTAAGCAAGAAGTTTGCATCACAGCTCAATTAAAAGAGGGTAGACGTGGCAGTTAACGACCACAATGATGATAACTAAGGCTGTTCAAATTATTGCACAAAAAACAGTTTATGCCGCTCACGTCAATGGAAAGCATGTTTATCTGAATGAGAACTTTTCAAAGACAGATTGTTTAAATGATTTCTGCATATGTGTAAGTCCAGATGGTGTTTTGATACAAGTTAATGGGGTCAAGACAAGAAACTTAATTTTATACATATTTTCGGGTCCAGTAATTCATCGGCTCTAAGCAAGGCAAGGAAAATCTGACCATACAAAAATGAAAAAGGTATGAAATAGGGAGAAACAATGTCATCTATAGCAATTGGAGATGGACCATGTATGAGAAGAAGAAGAAATGAAAGAATAGGAAAAACCTGCAGCAGCACATACAAAATGATTGATACGTTAGAATTCAATAACAACTCTACTACTAATTGGTACCGCATACAAAATTAAGCAGTTTCAAGTCCCAATTTTGCTACAAAATAAAGTTTTACCTAGTTTCAGGTCCAGAGTTTTGCATTAATTTTTATTTCTTCAACACAACAAATGTCTTATAGCAGCCCAGCAATATCACATTAAGCTAATACAACCAATAGCACACGAGATCAAGAAACTATGTAGCTTTCACACTCACAAGCACAGTTCACTATTGAACACTTTCAAAACTCCCTATAATAATTTACAAACAAAATACGAATCCACAAAGCCAATCCACCCCAAGAATACGAAAAGAAGGGTAATATTTGGTCTCATTATATGAGAAATTCACCAATATTCAAACATTCAATCCACTAATATAACATAGGGTATCATTGAATTGAAAAGATTATATTTATGTATGCACATTTAATTAGAATGTTCATACCTAGCCTTATTTTCGTTTTCAACTTTTCTTATCTCTTCGTCTTGCTGAATTCCCTGCGATGAAAACAGATAACCTGATCAGAGTAGTAAAAAGAAAAAATTCTATCTTTTTGATTTCAAAGAGTAAGAAATAGACAATAGAGAGTGAATCGAACCTGCTGTGATGTGAATTCCTCAGGAGCTTCGGAGTCACTATCGTCTTCTCTGCCCGACATCGCTTCGGAGCTCAAAGTATCAACCTTTTCGGATTTAGGAACGACGAGTTCAATTTCTCGGGGTTTTAGGGTTAGGGTTTTGATGTTTTTAAGCAGAGTAAGATCTATTAATGAGAAAATTTCAATAAGCCCCCTATAAATATTATACCTTCAAGGTTATCCCTTATATTATAGGAAATATGACTTTAGCCCTTTCTAATTTATGTATCTTGTTAATCCTTATTGTAAGTGGTCGCTTTGGTCAAAAAATTGTAGATTTTTTCTTAAGGGTTGGTTTATTCCCACCTCTTAAATCTCATTTTTCATCTCATTTAATCATCTTATTTCAAATTATTAAATTTATTTCATTTATATTCACTTCATTAGTCACTAAACTCACCCCGTCTATATTCACTAATTAAAAATTAAATTTATTTCAACCAACTATATGGGTAATTATCAAAAGTTTGTTTCAGTGTATTATTTCGGAACAAATATATTTCAGAAGCAGAATAAAAATTAGTAAAAAATAATAATAATTTTTAAAAAATTAGTCAAAATATCTTAAAACACCTCAAAATATTNCCAAGGCCGGTTAGACTTCTTGCTTAGCACGTCACCAAGAGGAGAGCACGGGAAGTTTATATGCACCACCAAAGGAAACGGTCCAAATCCACCAAGTCCAAGACAGTCCAAGGCCGGTTAGACTTCTTGCTTAGCACGTCACCAAGAGGAGAGCACGGGAAGTTTATCTGCACCACCGAAGGAAACGATCCAATTTTTGACCACGTTCCATGAAGAACCCCCCAACCTCCTCCTTACGTTGAGGATAAGTCGTGATCTCCACCAAGGATAATCTCTGAGCTGCGATAAAGAAGCCTTGAGGATATGTCATGACTTCCACAAGAATGATCTCTTAGCTACTATAAAATGGCTCTAATCTGGGAGAGGAAGATCACATCCCACCAGAGACATACAGAGGACGAACCGACTACCGGAGATTACTATTTTTCTTTGATTCTCCATTCTCTCTCTCAAAGTTTGTATCTCCATTCTCCATACCTTTGAATCAATAAAATACCCGACAACTGAAGCCATTGAAGAGTGAACGTAGGTCGAATTGACCGAACCACTATAAATTGTGTCTTCTTTAATTCTTTCATTAATTTCATTGCATTTATTATCTACACTTGACGGGTGGTGTGCAAAACCATTTTTGTGCATCATCAGTACCCACTGATCTAATAATCCACACTTAGTTGGGATGCAATTTGGGATTTCAACTTTGAGATCTCTAGCATTATTCTATTGCGTATTGGGCCCTTTCATGAGAGGTTTTGTTTTGCATAACAGAGCACATCTGCACATGTTCATTTCTCACAAGATGGAAATCCTACAATGCAACTAGGCAATCCAATATTGTAAACCTAATGAGAGACATTGGATCCTCTAAACAACAGTGCTAAAGTCTCAAAGATTAATTCCACTGAGAATAGTGGCCTATTAAATCTCCACCCTCTTTGGACTCTAAGTTGGCCGCCTTGGGTAATTTAAAATGAAAGGTGGTTCCACTTTTTCTTTCTATTGGTTAATCAAGGTGGATCCGCTTCAAGAAAGCACATCAGAGCCTTCAGAGATGCATAAATCCAATTTTAATACAATTTAATAGGTAATAATAGCCTATCATACCCAAAGTTTTCTTCTAAAACATGCTAGATATGTAGTTCTAATAAAAAATCTAAATTCTAATACACTGCTGGAGACTGAGAAATAGATATCTGTTCCCCACAATAGGATTTATGCAACCACTGACCCCAAACAATTAATTTATATGATATTGATTGTTCATCATGTCACTATGGAGCAAAGGATCAGCATCATCCTCAAAATAATGGATCAAAATTGAGAAGCTACCATTGTCATAATCCCTCATTGCTTACTTAGTAAACCAGATGTAGCAAGGAATCGTAATGCCTGGTTAGAATTTTTCAGAACTGCAGACGATCTTGAAACCTGCATCTTCCGTTTCTTTAAGAACTCCAATGAGTTCTGTGAGCATTGAGAAGGTGGGATGTCCTTCAAAATGACAGGTTCTAGCCTGTCAAACCATCAATTAGTGGAAAATTTTTTGTTCAGAATTTCACATCTTAACAAATTATTAATAAGCTGGGGAAGAATAAAAGAGAAAAAAAAGAGGACCCACCCAGAGGATTTGGCTGCCCTTTTCTTTTTGGAGGTACGCTTTTTCTCGACCTTCTCTTCCTCAGAGTCTGACAAAAAAACTTTCCTGCACATGATATTTTTCTCTTAATTGCGAATTATGTTAAGAGAAAGACAGCTAGTAGCTCCATAAGAGATACAAACACATGTATGTACACACATAGTGAGAGGAAATGGGGCAAGTTGTTAGGGAAAGAGGAGAGAGTAGCAGCGCATACTTCTCACGAGCTGCAAGCAGTTGGACAATGTCATCTGGGAGCATTCCCTTGTTATTCTGAGTCTCTTCGTGTGTCTCAGTTTCTATTCTGTCTTGAACAGTGTCACTCGCAGACGATGGTCGTGGTGTCAACTTTTGAGCCCATTGTCTGCGTCGTTCTTTTCCTTCACGAACAATCCTACAGAAAGCACATAGAATATATTTCATGTTGTGTAGAATGTAACTTAATGAAGAATCAATCCCTCATTTTGTACGATTTCCAGGCGCAGGAAAACAATATAGGAATACCAGCAGCACCAAAGCAAGCCATCAGAACACCATCAATAGTTTAACACTTATATGGGCCTCAAAGATTCTTTGAAGCATGGCAAAAGTATAAATTGTTATGTTTCCCAAATAGTCTCCATTAAGTCATAGGAGAGTTTGAAATGAACCACCACCAAGGTGGATTCATAATTAAGCAAGAAGTTTGCATCACAGCTCAATTAAAAGAGGGTAGACGTGGCAGTTAACGACCACAATGATGATAACTAAGGCTGTTCAAATTATTGCACAAAAAACAGTTTATGCCGCTCACGTCAATGGAAAGCATGTTTATCTGAATGAGAACTTTTCAAAGACAGATTGTTTAAATGATTTCTGCATATGTGTAAGTCCAGATGGTGTTTTGATACAAGTTAATGGGGTCAAGACAAGAAACTTAATTTTATACATATTTTCGGGTCCAGTAATTCATCGGCTCTAAGCAAGGCAAGGAAAATCTGACCATACAAAAATGAAAAAGGTATGAAATAGGGAGAAACAATGTCATCTATAGCAATTGGAGATGGACCATGTATGAGAAGAAGAAGAAATGAAAGAATAGGAAAAACCTGCAGCAGCACATACAAAATGATTGATACGTTAGAATTCAATAACAACTCTACTACTAATTGGTACCGCATACAAAATTAAGCAGTTTCAAGTCCCAATTTTGCTACAAAATAAAGTTTTACCTAGTTTCAGGTCCAGAGTTTTGCATTAATTTTTATTTCTTCAACACAACAAATGTCTTATAGCAGCCCAGCAATATCACATTAAGCTAATACAACCAATAGCACACGAGATCAAGAAACTATGTAGCTTTCACACTCACAAGCACAGTTCACTATTGAACACTTTCAAAACTCCCTATAATAATTTACAAACAAAATACGAATCCACAAAGCCAATCCACCCCAAGAATACGAAAAGAAGGGTAATATTTGGTCTCATTATATGAGAAATTCACCAATATTCAAACATTCAATCCACTAATATAACATAGGGTATCATTGAATTGAAAAGATTATATTTATGTATGCACATTTAATTAGAATGTTCATACCTAGCCTTATTTTCGTTTTCAACTTTTCTTATCTCTTCGTCTTGCTGAATTCCCTGCGATGAAAACAGATAACCTGATCAGAGTAGTAAAAAGAAAAAATTCTATCTTTTTGATTTCAAAGAGTAAGAAATAGACAATAGAGAGTGAATCGAACCTGCTGTGATGTGAATTCCTCAGGAGCTTCGGAGTCACTATCGTCTTCTCTGCCCGACATCGCTTCGGAGCTCAAAGTATCAACCTTTTCGGATTTAGGAACGACGAGTTCAATTTCTCGGGGTTTTAGGGTTAGGGTTTTGATGTTTTTAAGCAGAGTAAGATCTATTAATGAGAAAATTTCAATATGCCCCCTATAAATATTATACCTTCAAGGTTATCCCTTATATTATAGGAAATATGACTTTAGCCCTTTCTAATTTATGTATCTTGTTAATCCTTATTGTAAGTGGTCGCTTTGGTCAAAAAATTGTAGATTTTTTCTTAAGGGTTGGTTTATTCCCACCTCTTAAATCTCATTTTTCATCTCATTTAATCATCTTATTTCAAATTATTAAATTTATTTCATTTATATTCACTTCATTAGTCACTAAACTCACCCCGTCTATATTCACTAATTAAAAATTAAATTTATTTCAACCAACTATATGGGTAATTATCAAAAGTTTGTTTCAGTGTATTATTTCGGAACAAATATATTTCAGAAGCAGAATAAAAATTAGTAAAAAATAATAATAATTTTTAAAAAATTAGTCAAAATATCTTAAAACACCTCAAAATATTCTAAAGACATTGATGAAATTATATCAAAATATCTTCAAACAACTCGAAATAATATAGATCCCCTCACAACATTGAAATTTCTCCTCAATTACTATTTTTGTTTCAATTTTTTTGATATATATTTAATAGTTTAATTGAATGAGTACAAATGGAGTGAACTTAATAACTAATGAGATAGATATAAATGAGATGAACTTAATAATTTGAAATAAGATAATTAAATAAGGGAAAAAAAAGATTTAAAGGATAAAAATAATCCCACCCTAAATATTTTTTGTGTTTTGGGTTGTATTTTTTGTAGTGCACTTATGAAGAGGAAGAACGAGGGCATGATGTTGCTATTTAAGAAAGGGGTGGGGCTATTATCCACCCATTAAATCATTTTTTCTACACCATTTAATTATTTTACTGCAAATTATTAAGTTCACCTTATCTATACTCATCTCATTAGTTATTAAGTTAACTTAATTTATATTCATTTGATTAAACTATTAAATATATGT